ACATAAAATCATTATTTTCCTTATCCTTTTTAAAGCAAAAAATTCTAAAATATTCAATTCATAGATATATTAATTTTTCATCCCTTTCTTTTCTTGTTTTACATTAAAGCATGGATGTCCAACCTTTTGGTTTGCTTGGATCACATTGAGTGAGTATGAATTGTGTTGGGTCGCATATAAGATATATAATATAGTTTATATAAATACAATGATGAGAATAACTGGGAATTGTAACCAGGTCTACATCTCGGCCAAAAATAGGCGGGGGGTGGGGTGGATTTAAAAGCATAATGACTATATATGTATACTTTTTTGTTCTCTGTTTTTTTTTAAAGGGGGAAGATATATGTCAAAATTAAATATGTATACTGAAAAGGAATTATAAACACAATCAACATAAAATGGGCTCGCTCAAAAACTGAAATACACCAAGTAAATGAGATGAAGAGTGTGAAGTAGAGGAGAAAGATAAAGGAAGAAAGAGGGATAGGAGATGGGGCGAGGGAGGAAGAGGAGGAGAGAAAGGAAGAGTGGAAAGGGGAGAGAGGAGAAGGAGAGAGGGGAAACAGAGAAGAAAAGGACAACAGGGGGAAAAAGGAGGTAAGGAGCGGGAGGAGAGAGGGAGAAGAAAGTGATGGATAAGATAAAATATGGTGTATGGAGAGCAAAAGAGACAATAATTGTTTTTGAGAGCTGATGATAATGAATTGATGTAAACATTTAATAATACAATATGATGTTGGCTATGTAATAGTATACAAGTGATTAAATGTTATGAAATAAAATAAAGATGGAATGGATGATCTTGAATTTTAATATTGTATTTTCTATTTTTAAATTTTAAATGGGTTTTTTTGTCTTGTTGTGAGCCGCCCAGAGTCCCAATGGGACTGGGCGGCATACAAATTTTATTAAACTTGGAAACTTGGAAACATTAAATAAAAAACTTTTCTATGCAAAAAGATATATAATAGTTAATGTACATAAATCACATAATAATGTTAAAACTTTTATGATCTTGTGGGACCACATTACAAGCTGTCCAGAATCACACGTGGTCCATGAGTTGCAGGTTGGACATGATTACATGAAAGAAAATGTAGGTGCTAATATAGAACTTTTCCTTTATCACCTGGCCATAAACCTCTTGAAATGTTTCCCTTTGTAGTTATCAAGAGTTTTTTGTTTATTTTTGGGAAAAAAATGGAGCAGGAGAGAAAGAAAAACTTTCCTATTCCATGAAAAAAGAAGGTTACATAAGGGAGAGAAAAATTAGGCCTTGTCTCTCCAGATGCCAGTATTCCAGATTCCACCTCTCTCCTGATGCCATTATTTGGATCTGAATAAAACCCACCAAAGCCAAACAAGGATGCAGAGGAATCGATGTATAATGTACATTGGGTAAAGTTTCTCTTTCTGCTTTAGATTTGACCATTTCTAAGTACTTCCATGAGAAATAAAAACAGACTTAAAGTAATTCTGTATACAACTTGTTATCCCTAATTGACCTTGGCTGATCTTGAACAAATAAGCAGGTTCAGGTTTAGATGGATGAAAGACCAAGGAAATTCAAAGGATATAGGCTAGAGTGGTACATAGGAAAGGCACTACCGAAAAAAACCTGTGGCAAACCATCTCTGTTGAGTTACCAATAAAGTTCTCCCTATCAAATTGTCATTCCCTGTCACGTTTTGACATGCAAAGTGATATTAAGTCCCAAACTGAACCAGTTTATTTTGGTTAAGAATTAGCAGCAAGATAAAATGTAATTCCATAACAAACCTGTACTGAATGGAATGGAGTAGACAAAACTTCCTGGAATCTGCTCAGCAGCTCTTCTATACCAAAGTGGGAAATGATCCGCATTAAAAATATTTTCCTTGTCTTCAGCTGTCAAAAAGTCTCTTGAAACAGAAAGAAATAAAAAAAATGCTCTTTTTCATTTCATTTTTCACTTATCCTCTAACTTACCTACCCTGTTTTCCTGAAAATAAGATCTCCCCGGATAATAAACTTCACCCGGCTTTTGAGCACATGCGCTAAAATAAGCCCTCTCTGAAAATATTGCAATATAACAGCAGCCATGAGGTGACCACGCTTGTCGCCTCCTGCGCCTCAAAAATAAGAAGACCCCTCAGAAATAAGGGGGTCAAAAGAAAATAAAACCCTGTCTTATTTTCAAGGAAAGACAGTACTTTTTTTAAAAAAAACTACATTGTGTTTTATTCTTTTGTTTGTTGCTCAGGGCTATTTTTGATTGATGGGTGGCCATATATATTGGCTGCCTAAATAAATAAATCAGATATGGTAAAGTTTGGCTTATTTTCTCCTCAGTGTAAGTAAGGTGGTAAACACCATTTTGCACTTTCTAGGATTTCGTAATCCCAGCAAAAAAGACATTTGGGTTGGAGGTGTCTTTCACATCTGCTACTTCCCTTTGTTATGTTGCAGGAAATACAAATAGAAGGAAAATAAAGGCATAGGCATTGAAAGGAAATCCTGTTCTGAATCAATAACCAATTCAGACAATAAGAGCAGGGGGAAAAAGGGGCTGTTTTGTTGGTTGGTTAGACTTTTTGCAATTTGAAGTAGGCACCAGGCAGTTCCCAGAAACTAAACTCCAAGAATTTCACTTTAGTGAGAGGAAAAAGAGGGAGAGCGCATGAGAGAAAATGTATGGTAACATCCAGTGTGTGTTTCTTTCAGTATATCCAGTGTCACCAGGGATCAAATGCCCCTTCTTCTGCCTGTGGATTCTCTGGATCAGATTTGGGTGGCACCACATTGCTCCTACACTGAAAAGTATTGCAAAACCTGATTTGCTCCAGCAGAAGCCAATGAAATCGGATTTAATTTATCCTCTGTAGATAACTTTGCATGTGTGTTATTTCAATAAATAAAATACCGGGTGGACTTAATGTTCCAGTCCTGAGAATTCAGGATTTGGATAGAAAGTATTTTGAAAGAAAAACCCTACAGTTGTTTTTTTTAAGTTCACAAAAGTGATATATGCCATATTTTTCAGAGTATAAGACTTTTCCCTCAGAAAAGAGGCTGAAAATCTGGGTGCATCTTATACATAGAATACAACATTTTTTGCCTCCCGAAACTTTGCCCCTTCACCAAAATGGCCGTGCATAGCTTGTAAGAGGCTTTCAGAGAGCTCCTGAGGCCTGAGGAGGGCAGAAATGAGCAGAAAACAGCCCATTTTTTGCTCAATTTCACCCCCCCCAAGCCCCCAGGACCACTCTATAAGCTTCATAAAGGCTTTCCATGCCTTTTTTAAAATGAAAAACGGGCCTGTTTTTGTGAAAAATAGGTTGTTTTTTGCTCATTTTTGCCCCCCCCCAGCACCTAAAGGTTATTCATGCCTTTTTGGGGGGAAAAAACAGGCCCGTTTTCGCAAAACACAGGCCGTTTTGGGGAGGTTTGCAGAGTGCAAAACCTTTTTTTTAATTTGCCTCTTCTAAACCTTGTACACTCTGCAAACATGTACATGCAAGATTTACACTGTGGTAACTTTCATGACGCTTCTAGTTAATCCAGAAAATTTAGTGTGCTGTGTTCTGAAACATGAAATCTGAACTAGCTCCAGGTGGCTCCCTCCCATTCCCTTTATGAATCTCTTGAAATTCATATGAACTACCATTATTATTTAGTTTCCAAAGAATTGCAAAAGACAGCTAAGCCCACCTAATTTGTAATTCATTTAACCCTATGATTTTTTTTCCTGATACTACCACTAGAGGGAGAGAAAAGGTTGAGCGTCTTCCCACAGTAAGCATCCTTCCTCTTTTCAGTACGTGTAAGTTACTATACATAGTTTTAGTACTTACTGATTAGTTAGTTGTTCCGGCCCAACAAAAAGATTGATCCGAGAAAGGCCTGTCCGAGTTCCAAGGAAAGCAACCTCTACTCCCTTGTCTGAATTTCTGAAAAGCAGCAACAGCATGAAGGCATCCTATTTCTACAAAGTAAACAGTTTATGCCTATTTCAAGGTCACAAAACATGTGTAGAAACCAGGACTGCAACTGCAATCAGTTTACCAAATTCAAATTAAGCTTTTAATGAAAATTAAAACGTGCCCCCAATGTCCAAACGAAGGTGTGACTGAAAGGGTATTACGTTCTGCAAATGACATGGATGTATCATTTACTGAATGAACAAGGGGTGAAGTTTCCAATGGGGCAGCATAAATCTCAGAATAACATAGGGAGAGAAAAGGTCCACATGTAATCTACTTATGGATTACAAATCCTTAAGTCTTTATCTGGATAATTAAATGATGGGATATGGATCTCCCGCTCTCCCTCCCCCCCACACACACACTATACTGAGATGATAGAACAGCTACTGAATAAGCCAAAAATCAATCCATTTTTGGTTCAGAGATTTGGTATATTTGTTTTCTTAGTCACAAAGAATTAATGGTATATTTGCAAAATCGTTAATATATATGATATTTTTTACATTTATAATGTTTGTCTACATCCCATATATCTGGTGCATTGTTTTGTTTTGTGAGCTGCCCACAGTTATTTGCTTTAAGCTAAGAAGTTATACAAATTTCCTGAATAAATGTTCTATTACTTTGCCTGGACTGCTTTTTGATACACATAAATGTATACATCTGAATAAGAAGCTTACACAATCTTTCATGAAATGCTTGGCTTCATCTCATGAAAGCCTGGAGCTCAACAAAGTGGTCCTCCCAAGATCTTTGGGATATGCACATGGATGTTCATTGTGGAATCTCACCAGCATACGTGGTGGGCAAAACTGTCATGTCAATCCCTGGATTTACCTGTGGCACTTTTACAACTGTGTGCCTGAATCTTCTCTGATCATGAGTGAAGCATCTGAACAAAGAATTTATACAGTCCTAAGTTATATTCACATCCAAATAAATTAATTAATACAAAAAGAAGGAGGAAAAAGTCTGTTCACTCACTCTGATTTATTTAGTGCTAGGCTGGTCCAATAAGCTTCAATTGGGGCACTCACAACTGCATCAAATAAGACTTCCTGTATCAATTCTTTGTCACCTGTAAGGTTTTAAAACATTCATGAAAAGCATGTACAGAATCTCCTCATGATACTAAATCTGACCTCACCAGATATTGATAGGAATTTTCCAGGTTTATTATTTAAAACTTAATTTCAGAAAAAGTTGGGAATGAAGGACAACGTCCCTATTTATTTTTGAGATAGGGAAAGGTAGTAATGTTTTTATCTCTCTTTTGCATATCAAAACTTAAATTTCAAATATCGCCTTTTCAATTTCAAAACTAGTATATAATTCATCTTGCTGGTATTATACTCATTAGAAAGTTCTATACTACTGTACCCTATCCCACTTTAAAAGCCAATCAATTATTTATTATTTACCTTTTGATTGCATCAAAAGGCTAGCCATTATTATTATTTGTGTTGTGCATATGGAAAATTTGAAGTTAAACTACTTGAATCCACATAGTCAATCTTTCTGGCAGTGACCCTGTACAGTGAAGTTAACGACTTACTTTCATGGGTGATGCTATACTAGATTTTAGAGCAAAGTGTGCCAGGTAAAAAGAGAATTGGGCTTCTGTTCCCCTTAATAGTTGACTTGAAGAAGAGAGGTACAGTCTCAAAGGTGGTTTTTCAAAAGGTAACTGGACTTTCTTTGTTCTTCCTTGAAGATGTTCTGCTTGTTATCCAAGAAGCTTCATCAGTTCTGACTAATCCATCCATCCATCCATCCACACACACACATACACCCAAACATTTAGTGAAGCTTCTTGGATGAGAAGCAAAAGACGTTCAAGGAAAAGCAAAGTAAGTCCAGTTACCTTTTGAAAAACCATCTGTGGGACAACCATTACCTGGTTGACTGAGAATCTCCATAGGCAAAGGCAGGCACAGCTTAAAGATACAGGAGCTATATTGTTTATCTTCAATATCTTAGTCCAGTGATGGCAAACTTTTTCGCCTCGGGTGCCGCCAGCACATGTCCATGCATTATCGCACGCGTTTGGGTGCCCACCCCCACAATCTAATTCCCCCCGCACCATGCCCCCTGCTGACTCCCCCCTGCTGCCCCGCGCATATGCACACAGCTTTGTTGGAGCCTGGGGAGGGCAAAAACAGCATCCTCTGCCACCCGGAGGCCCTCCAGAGGCTGGAAAAGCCAATTGTCCAATTTCCGATGGGCCCAGTAGGTTCTTTTTTTGCCCTCCCCAGGCTCCAGAAGCTTTCTAGGAGCCTGGGGAGTGTGAAAACCGGCACAACACAGAAACTGGAAGTTCAGGAACGGATTTCCAGGTTGCCCGTTGGGCCATTTTTCTCTCTCCAGAGGGAGAAAAACGGTAAAAAATCAGCTGGCCGGCGCACACATGCGTGCTTGAGTTGACAGGGCAATGCTTTGCATGCCCTCTGAAATGGTTCCACGTGCCACAGGTGGCACACGTGCCATAGGTTCACCATCACGGACTTAGTCCATTAAAAATAAAAATGCTACATACTTTTTAAAGATGCAAACACAATATATTTATTTGAGGAACTTTCCAGGTTCATCTGAATTCAATTGTGATCAGAAATATACTCACAAGGAAGCAATGGCTCTTTCCCTGTGAGATAGTTTTTAATTGCCTTCAGTTGAGTCATTTGGCGGTGTTCCGGATGCAAGTCTGTGTTGCAATATGACCTGAAGACAATGTGTGGTTAAAAATAGCAGTAACAAATGTTAGTATGCCTGATCTCCCTTTGTCTTTCCATAAGTGGGAGCGGGAACACCAAGTACAGACAGAAAGGGCATGACAAGCCAATTGCATGCAGATTTACCATTCATCTGCCAAAGAGACATCAGGCTGTTCTAAATCATGTAATCCTGAAAGAAGAATAAATGATAGAGAGTTACTCTGGAGCACACACCAGTCCTAGTTCAATCTTTGAGTAACATTCATAGAAGTCACAAAGCTTTCCTCCTTTTAAAAAAAAATGCAACAAAACCTCCTCAATATACTTTAATGAACGATGGTAACTAGTTATACTTCAATCAGTGACTCACAAATATGTAGGAAATTCTAATTCATCTACTGCAGCTTTCTACTCCAATCTTCTCTTTGCCTTTTTGTGACTTTCCCTTCCAATGTCCTCCTATCTTTTATTTACAGATTGAAGCGTCTATTGCCACATAAAATCAAGGGATCAGCAGATTATGCAGGTGTCTTACAGCTGCCTAGCTTCTGTCGTTTTGTGCACTTATGATCTTCTCTTGCTTAGATTTAACTGAATAGTTAGGGATAAACAATCTCCCAAGTTTGAACCCCCCCCCCAACACTCAGTTTGCTATTTTTCCAGTTTTGAGTTCATTTTATTCCATCTCAGAATGCAAGCTAATATTTTTTGCATACACCAGTTAAGTTCAGGTGCTGCAAAACTGCATGACCACAAGAAAATGAAAGCTCTCCCTCTCAATTTGCAATGCTATCTTAAGCAGGGTTGTCAAACTCACAGCCTGTGGGCCAGATGTGTCACCCCCTGGCCACGCCCACATCCAGTTTAGCAAAGGGAAAAAAATCCCAATATGTCATGTGATGCCGCCGTGAAAATGTGAGTTTGATACCCCTGGTCTAAAGGATCAAATCAATGCTTCAGCCCTAGTATTATTGACACCATAGGTCAGTGATGGTGAACTTTTTTGGCACTGAGTGGCCAAACTCAGCATCCACATGTCGGAGCACCAGAAACGCAAACACCAGTTGGCCAGCGCACATGCATACACTGGAAACCAAAAGAGCAGCTGGTGATGATATTCATGCCCACAGAGAAGGCTCTGCATGTCATCTCTGACACGCGTGCCATAGGTTCATCATCACGACCATAGGCTTTTGTCGGAAAGTATCTATGTGCAATTCTGAAAGAAAAAAGTAAGGAACCTGAAATGGACTCCACTGTAATGGGAAATTTGGGGGCTGCATGCTAGACTCAGAAGCCAAACAGATTTTTTTGGGAAAAAGGTAGCTGGACAACCCTTATTATTGCCAAGAAAATGTAAACGTTATTATACTCACACTGAAAGCATTTTTACCATTTGCACACAAATATATATATTCAGGCACACAGATGTCAAATTTATTAATTTGTGTACCCAGAGCCCCTTATTATCAGCACAATAACATGGTTTATAGGGATCTGATTGAGCCAATCAAGCATTACCTTCTTCTATTGTCACGTTCCCTCTGAAAAAATATTTGCCGTGTCCTTTAGACAGAGCCACACCTAAACTGTGCAGATAAACAAAAAGCAGACCATAAAAACTGTGGCATAAACAAAGCTAGAAAATACAGGAAAAGATAATTACTCCCTAAGGTTTTAATTCCTGCTCTAGAAACAATTCTGTTTTGTTTCTAAGACCTTGGTGGCTGCATGTCTTGGCCAACCAGCCACTTTGATGCCATTTTATATTTGTTGTGCTAGCAGCAATGACTGTGTATATTTATTAGGGGTGCAATAACCCCTGCTCTCTCTGGCAAGCGAAAATGAACACTCACCAAGGTTAGTGTTGTTGAGCCAAGTGAAGAATCTGCCCATAGGCTTTCTAGGGGAGGAGGCCGTTTTCATACAAATGAAAATCATCTGTATGGAAAATAATCCTTACTGATAGTATAAGAGCTAGCAGAGCTGCTGAGAGCAAGGAAATCCAACAATGTGAAAATCGGAGCTTAATGACACACTTGGCATAATTTCTTGGTTACATATGTTAACCTTGCTTAATATTGTTGTGATGTGAACAGTATTGCCATGGGCTCTTTCCCATAAAATACTAAGGGCAGCACTATGGAGGGTTGAGATAACTGTTGCATTTTTAAAATGTTTCTTACATTTTTGAAAGTACTGATTTAACTGTATAGGTTGCCTTCGATTTATGACCACAGTTGAGCCCAGAATTACTGTTGTTAAGTGACACACTTGCTAAATGTGTTTTGCTGTGTTTTACGAACTTTCTTGCCACGGTTGTTAAGTGAATGACTTCTGCTGTTAAGTTAGTAACCCAGTTGTTAAGCGAATCTGCCGAATCTGTTAAGAGCCGAAGTGGCGCAGTGATTAAATGCAGCACTGCAGGCTACTTCAGCTGACTGCAGTTCTGCAGTTCAGCGGTTCAAATCTCACCGGCTCAGGGTTGGGTAAAATGAGGACCCAGATTGTTGGGGGCAATATGCTGACTCTCTGTAAACCGCTTAGAGAGGCCTGAAAGGCCTATGAAGCGGTATATAAGTCTACTGCTATATTGCTATAAATATGAGTCAGCTGCCAAGCATCTGAATTTTGATCATATGACCAAGGGAATGCTGCAACGGTTGTAAGTGCAGAAAACCACCATAAGTTACTTTTTCAGCATTGTCGTAACCTTGAATGGTCACTAAATCAACCATTGTAAGTTGAGGACTACCTGTAGTGCAGGTGACTAGAAGAGACCAATAGAGTAAAAGCACATTATTCTCATTTTGGAATCGGATCCAATTTGTGAATTGGATACCGATTTTATGTACGTAAGGTTCAGCAAATTCTTCAATCTGCAGATATGCTGCAAATGTTATGCGTGGAATTTTAAATCACATCTACTACTTTCAAACGAAGACAATGTGAGAAAGTTAGACACTTGACAGAGGAGAATTGACAAAGGAGAAAAGAGAAGAAATTGCACTGAAGACTCAACAGTTTTCTGCATTTGGACTCACATCTATTTCATGAACATCTGCCTTGTGGGAAGATAGCCCAAAAGCATCAAGAGAATTCATGCTTGAACTGAAAGAAGAACCTTGAGTTTTCTGAGCAACTACTTCATACAGAAAGTTTTCAAAATGACTTAGCTTACGGAAATGAGTTTTAGATGTTGGGCTTAAGTTCACCTGATGGGCTACTGAGGCCTCTTATGGACCTTGCCTAAACAATGTAGTCTTGTCTCCAGTGTAAGTTAGTATGGTCCTCTTGGCATCAGTCCTACCACCTGACTAATCCCTGATTGGTGCATATGTTTGAGCTTTAATGTTTCGTTGAGCAGCGCTGGTTTATTACAAGTAGACAGTCTTGGGTGCCTGTCAGTGTGGCAGCCAGAAATGAATTCCAGCCTGCTCACTAAAGGCAGAATTACACTATGAAAAGAACTGCATATGGACTGTGTCGTGCTTTGGATTTGATTTGTGGTTCAGTTACCGGAACAGGCATTCCATGAATATGTAGAACTAAGCTCTGTATAAATAAATTCTAATCATTTTATTTGCTAGTGCATCTATGCTCACTAAGTGTTGCATCATTGGATCAGTGTTACTAGTCTGGATATTGTTTAATTATTTTGTGGATGGGAAACATTTTAGTGAAACACTGCAGTCATTCTTCCTTCTTTTGAGTACAAGATGTGTTTATGCTTCATGTAATTGCTTATAACAAATGAATAACATTTCTGAGTGTGTGCGTGACTCTCTGAGCCTTTGAGTATGTGTGACTGAGGCAAAAGGAACCGCCTGTAGATAGTGATGGGGACTATAGATTTATAACGAAGGTGCCAGTGTCCTAGAAGTGTGTATTTGTAATATTCTGTTAGCCACACCTAATCTACAGCATGTATATAAATGCATTTCTTTTAGCCCTGTACAAATAACCATGCAGGTTTCCATTAATGGCAGGGAAAACTTAGCTGGAGATAGGAAGTAAGTTTCTTAACGGAGCACAGAATGGAGTGCCTTCTGAATGACAGGTCTGGGATATGGCCAGGCAATTTATCTTTCATAAATTTTCCGTTTCTGAATAAACCTGAAAAAACACACTGGAAAGCTATTACCCTTGCTCTTTTCAGCATCATTCAAGGATCGTTTTATTGTCAGCCTCTTCTGATGAGCTTTTAATGAGCTCATGAGGCCTGTAGAAATGCGATTGCAATAAGCCCGATGAAATATTCCATTTATTGTGAGATGCTTTACCTGAAAGGGGTCCCCTTGATATCTGTATAATAGTAGTCATTTGTCATCACCAACACTCGCTTCTAGATACAAGAGAGGGGGAGAAAAGCTTAATATGAAAAGTTTGGCAGGTTTGAATTTAAAAAAAGGCAAACATGTAATCTAGAGCAAGATTAATAGTAGCATAACAGAAAGACATGCAAACATTCAAAATTCATCTACATGTAATAAACATGAGTATATAATTTTATTTTTACATTTTGTTGGAAAAGAATTGCCTATACAAAATACCCCTTTGTCCACTGTTTTCTTCACTTCCATGGAGAATTTTCCTGTTTTCCGATTCACCATTGCATTTCGAAGCTTAAATAGAAAAAGAAGAAATTTTAAAAAAGAATTAAGACTTAAAATTTTCTCTTTATATATGTCTTCATTTTAAAAGATATTTGGACAACAGGAAGAATAGATACATGTGCATTCTTTCCACTCTAATTTGTTTAGTTACCAGACATGGCCATTATATATTCCTGCATCACAACTTCCAGAGTCAAAGATTATTTGGCTGAAAATGCTGGGAATTTAGTCTAAGAGGTTCTAAAAGCAGTGTGTTGAAAAATAGATTATAAAATAAACATGGCTGAAATGGGATTTGAGCCTAGGTCCCAAGTTGTAGTAATCCAAGACTGAAAGTACCACTCCAGTTATATTATTAACTCAGCACTCAGTCTTCTATACCGCTTCACAGTTTACAGTAACCACTTCTAAGCAGTTTACAGAGTGAACATATTGCTCCCAACAATCTGGGTCCTCATTTTACCGGCCTTGGAAGGATGGAAGTCTGAATCAACCTTGAGCTGGTGAGAATCAAATTGCAGCTGGCAGTCAGCAGAAGTAGCACACAGTATTGCATTTTAACCACTGTGCCACCCCAGCACTGCTTGGAAAGCTTAATTTTGAAAGGAAATTAAAACTGGTAACCTTTACCAGCAGGCAAGTAAAAGTTAAAATAAAAGTTAGTTGCAGGCTATAAGACAAAAAACATTATGATTCATATATATGTTTGGAGTGAATGCACAAATTCATAACCCAAGAGATTCCTTAAATAAGGTACATGATATAGTGGTGCTTTCTTTCTCTTTCTCTCTCATATAAAACATTCCTGCATTTCTCTCTAGATACGGTTATCTTGCTTTTAAACTTTGAAATTAAGCAGCTAAATAAAGAAGTCTAATGATGTCCCATCCTCAGAAACTTCCAAGGTTTTTTTTTATGGACAAATCAAGTAAATTAATTTAAAATCTATTTTTATGTAGTCTTAATTTACAGATTACATGAAGTAAAGCCCAATCAAACTGGGAGTTTAGGAGAAGCCGCAGTAATATCACGTTTGCCATAATATCACCATGCAAGTAATGTTAATTACTTAAATTACATAAATGCTAATGATATAAAGTACATCTTTTTCTTTGTGACGCTGTGACATACAAAAAATTATTTGGCCCTGAGTCTAACACATGGAGGTAATTAGGTTGGATAGGATGACTTATACCACATATTAGTGCTTTCAATAGGAAGCTACTTAAAAGAGTGTGTAGGCCAATGGTAGGTTCCGGAACCCATTGCAACTGGTACAGTGCAACGGAGCCCAGAGGCCACCACATGAACGTGAGCAGCACGCGCACATGAGTCCTTACCTCCTGCGATACTCTGCGACACTCCAGCTGCTCGGCGGAGTGTCGTGCAGGCATCGTATGCTGCGCGTGCGTGCGCAGAAGGCCCGTTTCCTTCAAATATAGGTAAGGAACGAGGGCAGGCAGATGGACCCTTTGGAGCACCAGAATGGTACCCGGTGCTCCCAATAGGCACTGGTACGCCCATATCGGGGCGTACCGTCAGCAACCCACCACTGGTGTAGGCAGACGTAAGTAGTACTTGACACCAATAACTTAGATCAAAGCTATCTTTCTCCTGGATCATACTACAGAGAACAGGCAGGTGATCCCAAGGAGAAGATGTAACTGCTTTAAAGAGCTGTCTACACTGCCACATTAATCCTCGTGTGAGCTCTGAAGCATTTCCAGCCCACCCCCTCTTTAATCTGAATCAGACAATCTGTGCCTTTTGTTAGGTCATCATTTTAGAGATATTGCCTAACCTAAACAGAATGAGCATGTGTGGGCAAAAAAAAGGCAATGGGAATGGGAACGACTTTGCACTTCCTGCCAGCTTTATACTTTCCTTGTGGGAAACTAGCAGGGAGTATCAGAAATATTCCCCCTTCTCTTCCTTTCCCTTCCCTTACTCAGGAAGGGTAAGTGGCTGCTGCTCGGTGGGGAGGGAGCAAAGGATTATGAGACTGGCTATCATGCAACATTGAAAACGAAGACCACATGACCACAGCAGCAGTTCAGTAAGTTGAGCACCAGCCAGTAGCACTGAAGCAGCCAA